ATGCTTGTGTCTGTGAAATCAGAGTTTGAAACAAGAGTGGGAGAGGGCAAGGTCTTCCTGAGTCTTCATTAAGATTGGAAAGGTGACTTAAAATCTTCTTTTCTTTATCTTATTAACAGTGTTGATGTGAAATACTATGAACTGGATCCTTCAGAAGAATAGCCCAGAGGAATGATGTACATGACCAGATTCTAAATGGGCTATTTGAATTACTGTGGTGTGTGGAGTTATCTTTGTCTAGAAGAACATAGCTGTGTGATAGGTTAATCATCCCCAAAGATCTTAAATCCTGGTAAATAATTTTAATGAGCGGATGTTTATTCCCCAGGGTGGAATTTTGAAAAAATAGAATAGAAAATCAGAGGGAGGGTAGAAATAAGTTCTCCAATAAGGGAAAAAAGATTAGCTGAGACCTGTACTAATAATAGTAGTAAAACACTAACTATGCTGTGGAGCAAGTATCTAACTTTTTTTTTTTTTTTTAAGAAAGAACTATTTATCCATTCAATAGTTACAGTCAAAATATGAGTGTTTCTCTAAACTAAGTCTAACAGGTCAATAGAGAGGCCAGGATTGTTCTCTGGTGAGATTACAAAGTTCATGCTGAATTCATTGAGAAGGACTGGTGAGGAGAAACAGAGCATCATGCACTTTGAGGCTCTGGAATGACTACAGATTCCCTTCACTTTCTTCTATCCACCCCTCCCTAAGATTCTCCGTGTATGAAGACAGACCCACTCACCCACTCATTCACAGAGCACACTTGTTCCACCCTCTCCTTCATCAGACTTTTGAAATTGTCGATGAAAAATATGCAGTCATTTTCATGGTCATTCAGGGTAAGTAAAGGAGGCAGATCATGGAGTAACCTTTATTTCCAGCCTGTCAAAAAGAAGGCAGCACTACATTCTAGCAAAGTGCTGTGGAGTTCATTCTGTTCTTCCACTCAGTATCCTCTGTGGAGGCAACTGTGAGATACCTGATGCTTTTTAACCTCTGAAGAAAAAGTCTTTAGTAAGTTAACCTGGGCCAGTTTGGTACTCAGTAATGTCTCTATGTAAAGTACTGCTGATGTCATAAGTTCTTGTATGTTCCCATCATGACAGTTTAAGGTTTTTCTTCAAATCATAAGTAAGAAAGAGAAGTAAATGGTTAATCAATACCTTACTCCTGTTCAGATAACATGCAGATGTTCCTGATCACAATGCAAAATGTTTCTCTACTATGAAATCATGGGGAAAAAAACCCAAACAACAGTTTCAAACTTAACCTAATTCTATCTCAGTACGACAGAATCTTTCAAACCAATCTTGGTTCCATACTGAAGCTAATTTACATGAAGGTTATTTACAGAGGCTGTATCTTTACATTCTATTATACTGACTTCCAAACACTGATACTTGTTTCCAATACGGTACATTTAAATGGAGTCTAACCTCTTAATTCATATGCAGTAGTCTAACATCATGGCAGTTCAATCAAAGGTGTATCTGCCATTATTGACATTAATAAGGCATAAAGAGTATAAAAACAGACCAAATGAAAAAAGCTATGGTTTGCACCCTGCATGATTCCAGTTTATTCCTTAGGTATGCATCTTACTGGGGGTTCTTAATTACCTGTAACAACCTATAATTATTTTTTTTTTAAATATTCACATTTACATTGAGAATCCATCTATCAGGCAGGAAATTTGCAGTTATTGATGGGCAGCTGAAGGATCCTTCTCCAATCTGTCTACTTTCAGAAGTAATCAAATAGCTGTAAAGGGACTGAATCTTTTTCTAATCTCCCAAGCAACCTGGACAGTGTCAGAAAGTTTGTTCAATATTGCAGAGTACATATAACCCATACTCCTATTTTTTTTTTTCTCATACACAGCATATGAAGTGATTTCATGAAACGGAATAATTTCAGAACACCTTAAATGGTTTACAGAAAACCCTAGAACACTTGAGTGACTAGTGGCTTCACTGGGTAATACATTACGCTAACATTGAAGCATGACCTATTTGAATAATTTCCTTGACTTGTTTGCTACTGGCAGGTTAGCACACTGGGCTGTACAGGTATGTAAGTATATTTGCTAAAAAGTATATTTTAAGATTTGATAAAAATATTTTAATAAGAGTACAAGAGATCTTTTTTTTCTTGGCAATGTTATTTCCTGTGTCCACCACTCATACCTGAGAAACCTATGTGCCAACTTTCACCTAATCGTTTAATCCTCACATTTTCATTCAAGTACATACGCTCTCAAGATAAACTCTTAGCTGTGTTTATTCTTGTTTTCAATATAAAAGATTAGAATCGTTGTCTGACAAGCATAAAATCCAGACCATAGAAGTTTCTTTCAAGAGAGGGTAAGACAGTTGTTATATAGAGGAGTAGACAAGTACTCTTCTAATATTAATCTTTCTATATGCAGACGTACACCAGGCATGTTACGTGACTGAGTAAAGAAGGTCAATTAGTGGACTAGAGTGTCTTATTTAAGACAGGATCCACCCTGGGAAAGAATTTCAGAACCTTTGTTCCTGATGCAAGTTATTATATTACAAATTTTAAAGCAGCTTTCCCTCCTTGGGCTGAGGGACTAGGGCAAAGGTAGTGTACTTTGAAATGGGTATTTCCCCTTATGCTGATCTAAACACCTCTCTCATTTCACAATATGAAAATAAAAAATGAGGTAAGGGTACAGAGCACAAACCAGAAAGATAGAGAAGGATTTAGAAAGCACCAAGCATCCTGGTACCACACGCAGACGTTGCATGCAGTAACTACATCACTTAACTGTATCTGAGTGAGGTGCACCACAACTGTTCACAACCAACTAACATCCTACAATACAGGAAAGGCAAGAAAGCACCCTGCCTTTACATCCACTTTCAAACAGCATTTTAAAAGTCAGTTTATTTGCTTATTCCACCCTGAATTTCAGACACTGAAAGATGATTTTGATACTCAAAGAAATTATAGCAGCTGAAGTAAAGTTTCATACTTTGCCCAGCACATAGGTGGTCAAAGAACCGTTATTCCATTTGAAGAACTTAAGTCCTATAGCTCAAGTAATTTTTTGTGTTTCAAATGCACAAAAACTGTATGCTTACTCGTGTCATAAACAAAAAGTGAGATCTTCCTTTGTGAGAGAAAAAGGCTCAACAGTGGCTGTATGTGTGCAGCAGGATTAGGTAAGTCATGGTCTCCCAGGAATAAAATCAATCATTATCTCTTGAAGAAAGTAGACAGCTGGGAAGCTGAATTCTGCTCACTATAGCAAGTATATATTTAACTTGACTGAACTGCCTAGAGTTACATTAATGAATCCATCTGAAGAACTCAATTAGGTCTTCCTGTCTAGACTTGAGAAGTAAATAAATATTACCTAATGCATGGCATTCAATACAGGGAAAACAATCACATTTATACACACTTGCTGCAAGATGAAACAAGACAGTGATACCTCCTAGGCTCACTATTTCGGGTGGACACCTGTACTTCGTTTAGTCTGCACTTTATTACATTGACTGCCTGCTCCTTGCATGCAGCTGCTTTGATTGAAACACTTATGGCAATTGAGGTCTGTCTGTCAGAACAGCCCTCATTCAGTTATATAAAAATTAACCCAAATAAGCAATTGAACTACTGCTTGCTCCTGCATCAGAACAGCTGCCTGAAGACTGCTGCGTGTTTATAGAGGTCCAGGTGTTGCATAATATCTAGAGAGAAATAAGCCTAGACTACAAGGAGACATTCTCCCCTGCACAGCATCATGCACCCTGAATAATCCCATCTACTTACACAGTTTAACTAAAAAATGGCATTACCTTTGGTTTAGCAAAGTAAATGCTCTAATAAGCATACATTTAACTAGCAGTAGGATTGCACTAAGCAGCTGGCCCTCCCCCTATGCTGTCCTCAGCTGTTTTGGAACACTTTTATGTAAAGCATACCATAAGTGGTATCTGATCTTAGTAACGCTTGTGGTCTAATGTTATGAACATGGTAGAATAAGCCCAAAGTTGATATTAGGTCAGCCTTTAATCTTCTCAGCATTTTGATTTTTCTTCACTGGGGTTACCATTCAACCAAAGGTGGAAAGACACATACAGTAAAGCACAGTAGAAGGGCAGTGACAGGTAGGGAAAATTCATTCTACCATGAAGGTGTCCAGATACTTCAGTCCCTTTATAAATCAGAGCAATGCTTCTACAGCATGTAAGAGAAGGAAGCTTATAGAGCCTGTTATCACAGTTACTGTCTACCAAGTATCATCCTCAAGTAAGGGGTTCTCTTCAGTCAGTATAAAACACCAATATCTGTTCTGGGACATAGTATCTTACAGAATGTATACTTTTGGTTTTAGGCCTTAAGACAATAGGCCAATAGATGAGTGTCAAGGCCTACATCATTATCTGCAAGCTCCATCAGCAGTTGCTTTAGGGTTACTGCTGTAACTAGCAGCAGCATATTGATGCTTGTGACTACAGGTGTGCATAGATACAGACACAGTACCCAGTGTTAAGAGCCCATCATTCATATCCTGACCTGCAGCAGACTTCAAAGATGGCATAAAGAAAGCAGACCTGCAAGTTTTTCAGTAATGCAAAGCATGCTAAATTGTTCTCCACTCTTTTCAGAATACAGTGCTTCAGATTTCCATTCTCTTTATTGCCAATAGATTGATATTTAAAATTCCAAGGTCCAAGAAAAGTATCATGTAATAAATACTTCACTTTAGGCTGTAATAAATAAAAAATTATTAACAAGGAATGCACTTTGCCAGCCACAAGTGTGGGTATTTTTGGAAAAAAAAAAGGCGGGGAGGGAAAATAAAAAGTATGGCCATAGTTCACAGTTAAACAGCCAAATGCTGCTTGTTACAGCTATCCCCAATAATGTAGCTCTCCCTGCTCTCCCTTCCCAGATACGTATTCACAGTTTAACTCCATCAGAAATGCTCTCTTATAGAGCAAGTGGTCACGCTTTGCTCAGAGTTCAAGTCAAAAATATTTTTAACACACACATGAAGCAAGGAAAACTATGGTCTGAAGAACTCCTTGTCACACCATTTTAGTCCAACAGTAGGTTCAGGCTTCTGTCTAACAGATGTGCCCAGCACACTGGGCCAGCCAAGTTTTCGTACCACCACACATCTAATCCATCATCAACATACTAGTTGCTCCACCATCTCCACTGTAGACATCACAGTGAACAAGAGTCCTTTTGGTTTAAAAGTCAGTCCTTTCAGTTATATCGCTGCAGCAGCATGTTCAGAGCATATTCCATTCTGTGTTTTAGTTCCAATGAGCATCCAGAAACCAGAAGAGTTGTCAGACAAAATGTTGTGGATACCCTCTCTTCATTGATGTAGGTAAGGAGATACTCCTCATTCTGATTGCAAATTATGATTTTCGTATGATCATGATAGAAGTTCACCTGCAAAAGAAAAGTTCCTGTTTGAATACTTTCTCCTCTTAGATTCTAGCACTTATCTAGGTTTATATTGCAATAAAGTATTTTAGAAGCATCTTTTCCAGTGATGCTGCCAAACTTACTTGAAATGTGCCATCATTGAAGAGCATCATTAATGCTTTATCAGATTTAAGCCACTGTAAGAGGTAAAGTCTGGGCCTGCGTACGTCTGTTACGCTGGGCAAATCTCCTCCCTAGGAAAGGGAACCGACACTATGTTAAGCACTCAGTTCACATTTACCATAGCTTTACAGCTCAAGATCCAGAAGATGCTGAACTTACATCCATGAGGTTCTCCTCCATGTAGTGAGAAAAATACTTCAGTACAGTTACTTGGCTAATGAACTGTTCAGGAGCCTCTGTGGCAGCAAAGACCGAGCACTGGCCAAGCTCAGCATAGTAGTGGACTGTCCTGTGATAGGAGAAAGCAAGGAGGTTAGATATGAGATAAAAGTATTTCATGTTTAAACCACCTTCATGAGTTGTCAGTCTTGCAAACGTTCTTACTTTTTGTCTGGCAGAAGGCTCATATGCACTCCGTTGTTGAAAAGGACACCAACGGTGTGATCTGACAGCTGGTACCCAAAGCCGTACTTGTTGGAATAGTCTACCCATTTTGTAACCCACTGGAAGGATGCTGTCAGCTGTTCTTTGGGAATGCTGTCTGCTTCTGGCATGTTCTCCAGGCATCCTCGCAATACCCTTGCGACTGTATCAGCAACACTTCCCATGGTACTGTCTTCCAAGCCTGAAAGAGAAAGATTATTACAGTGACAAGAGAACAGAACAAGCTTTCAGTTATCTAAAAACTTAAAGTTTAGCCTTTATGGCTCTCCAGTTTTAATTCTTCCAAAATATTGGCTGTAACATTTAGAGTGTCAAAAACAGGGGCTGGGGAGAAAAGCAGCTATTGATTTCAAGCTTCTAAGTCTGAGACATGACAAAAGTAAGGGTGGGGTATAGAATTAAAGATTACATTTTGCTGCACTTACATTCACTACTATTGCTGCAGCTTCCCAAAGTTCCTCTAACTATCATCCGAATGGAGTCTCCATTCTGCTTTGTTTCTGGCAGTGCTCCCGGCTTCGCTACTGTTGTGATAAGAGGCTGCATCTCCTAAAAGATGTCAGACATGTAAACATCAAACCTAATACAAGCCAAGGTTCACACACAAGTTTTGCATGGCTCTCCTGTCTCTCAACAAATGATAAATTCTAGAGAAACTGGTATTAATGTTTCCAGCAAGTACAAAGAACTGCTAAGCTTTAAGAAGCAGGCCAGGTCTTTCCATTCTTTAGATCTTCAATTTGCATCTTATACACTATTAATCAGTCCTCTGCTCTCCTGCCCTAGCAAGAGAACTGCTGTGTGCAGGTCTGAGTGCCAAGCGGTAAGAGTTACATCTCAGCAATTTATTCTTTACAAAGTCCTAGTTAATCATGCACCAAAGCCCTGTATTTGGAATATTGGGAAAGAGCACCTGGCAGACCAGTTACCACACAGACAACTGTGGAGTCTAGATAGATACTATAATTACTCAAAAGCCAAAATTGATAGTCTCCCTACAAAGGCTACCATACCTTGGTTGAAGCCTGGTTAAGCCCTCTTAAAGCAACTCTGCTAATCATTTAAGCTTGATTATGCTGTGTACAACCTCAGCTCTGATATCCAAGTCAAATGTAATTTAATTACAGCCACTCCACCCAACTGTTACTGGATTTGAATTGAATTCCACTTGCATTTACCTCATCTGTTCTGTGATTGTGGGGCTGCTGGGTTATCGATGTCTTCTTCAAATCATGTCTGAGTTTGTAGATTTCTTCTTCCTCTTTAGCTAGTTTGTCTGCAATACAGGAAAAATACTTAAATGCTGCATCTGGAAATGCTGTTCAATTACAGAAAGCCTAACAAGTTAGCTGCAGAGAGAGCACTGTTCCCCTCCAGTAGCTTCTACATCTGCCAGTGTCCCAAAACATTGGTGCCGTTACACACAGATCACCAAGAGACTAAACTTCAACAGACATTACAGACCAACAGATGGCCAATATAGATTGTCAGTAAGCCATAAGCACTGACTTATGTAAGTTGGCATAGGTTGCAGACTACCGTCTATACTTATTGATAAAGAGGTCAAAAATAACCTAGGGAAGCTGAAACATAAATACACATGCTCTGTTGCTGTCTCTTAGCCTTACATTACTAGCATGACATTGATGGCATAGAGGTAAGTTCTAAGCGTAGCTACAATCTACTCACTCTGTGTGTCGAAGTATCTGGCTTTATCCTTTTTACCACCAAAAAGAGCAGCAGCTGCTTTTTTGAAGAAATTTTTAGCAGGACTTGACAAATGGAAATCAGGAACAGTGTGACAACAGCTAGCAGAGAGTCTATCAGGTGTAAAGCCCTGTGGAAATGAATTATAAAAAAAAATAGGTTTCAGTGCTTTTTAGGTTGGATGTTTTTTTCCAGACAGAACACTGAACAGCACAAACCTGTAAGAAAAATTCATGTCGAATTATTTCATCTAAACTGGGCCGATCTTCAGGATTTTTTGACAACATGCTAGCTATTAAGTGTTTCGCAGGTGCCAGAAGAGATGAAGGCAGGCTGTATCTTGCTTCCCTTATACATCTGTATGTTTCTTTCAGATTTGTGGTCTCAAATGGGGGTCTTCCCAACAGCATTGTATACCTGTTCAAAAGTAAAGGAAAACAGGTTTCGGGTTTTGGTTTTTTTTTTTAAACATACCCACAATACTTATATCCACTGAAAAGGCTTTGTCTGTCTCCTAACAGAAAAGAGACTTTTTGCACTTGGGCTACGCATATATGAAGGGCTGCAAACTGATGCAGTACTGCATCCCCTTTGAACTCTTAAAAGCCTAAGCCACTGATAGAAATATTTCATTTCAAAGGCAGTGAGTACTTACATTACACAGCCTAAGGCCCAGATGTCAGATTCACAGCTATGCCCTTGTTTGTTGAGGACTTCTGGAGAGAGGTAATTTGGTGTGCCGCATATTGTTCTGCAAATCAAAGAGGCCACAGAGCCTGTTAGTATTTCAGATGGAAAGAGAACAGAAGCTATTTTTCATAGAGCAGGTTTTCCTCCCAAGTTTGGACAAGAACACAGAGACTCCTAAAGAGGAGCTGTATGAATATTAATAGTGTAGACATGTTTTACGCTGTCTTCATGATACAGGAACAGACTTTATCTGCACGATCTGTCAGACAAGTACCCTGCCGCTGGCATTTGCTATTATTGAAATACTCAAAGCACAGCAGCCTGTTTTCTAGAAGGGGAAATCCTGATCCCAGAAGCAATTAGCTTTTGCTATAGAAAAAGACTACTCATTTCTAAGTGAACTGGCTTTCATTTGCTACTAGACTTGACATTTTTTGATGCTCCTACCTCCTCCTGTGCTCCAGTGGTTCCAGCCTAGCTGCCAAGCCAAAGTCACCCAGTTTCAGTTCCATGTTCTCATTAATGAAGAAGTTACCTAGCAGACAGAAATTCCAGTTAGGTTTTTTTGCAAGGTAGGAATGCATTTTCCACAGGTGCTGAGTCATATTTGAACAAAGCCAGAAGCTTGCCAGGATTATTTTTTTTTTTAAGTAGGAATGCTTGATGTCATCCCTGAAGCACTCCTGGTTTCCACTGTAAAGGCAGACTGAGCTGATTCTATTAAGCTATCACCACACAAGTGTAAAGTGGTACAATACTGACAGGGCCAGAGAACTGTATTTTAAAGTCAGTGAGGTGCAGTACTCACCTAGTTTAAGATCTCTGTGCAAGATTTCCTGATCATGGAGATACTTTAGCCCTGACACAATTTGCCTGAGGTAGTATCGTACTTCTGGTTCTGTCAATACCTTCCTCGCTTTTAAGATGTGAGCCATCGACTGCAGAGGAAAAACAAAGGCAGAAGTGTCACTGAACATTCACACACAAGATTAACCTTAAGCAATAGTAAATCAATGCATGTACAAATAACTAAAGAAACCACAAAAAAAATACCTTTTACACATCACACATTTAAATTAGTTGCAGATTCCACGTAAGTAAATACTGAATTTCTCCCAGTTGATGCTCACCCTTCTACTGCAGTACTCCAGAAGAATGTAAATATTCTCTCTGTCTTCGAAGTAGTGATAAAACTGCACAACATGCCTATGATTAAGCATTCTGTGCAACTCAATCTCTTTATCAATCTGAAGAGACAAGGGGG